AAAGCATGTGAATGTTTAGGCTTTTATGATAAGGTGGGGGCACCAGAGGCTATAAGAGTTTGAGCAATGCTCCACCGTTTTGAGATCTGAGGCTGTCTGCATACGGTGTCCATCTCCCACGCGTGTGTTCATTAAAATCATCGTTTGACTTAACCCGGCCGGACCAGTGTTGTTATTGTGGTTTTTTTCTCTTGTCTCCATCCCCAATATTTTGAACCTTAACAATGGGTTCGTGGGTTTCCCTAAACTTTCAGAGGTTTTGTGGGTTTCGTTGGAAGCTTTTTCTTTGTGCTTTGTGAGAAGTTTACATGTGATAAAAATCTAATGATGAGCTTGTTAAACAGAGTGGTGCTAGATCGGGTATCTTGGTGGAGAACAGTATTGTCTTTACCTGACTGAAACGCACAGCTGAACACAATCTTGGGTCTTTTCTTTACAATATAAAGCAATTATTATGATCTGGCACTATGATATGTGATAAATAAAATTAAAATAAGCTGAATCCAACTTAGAAGTCAAGGGTGAGTTGTCAAAACTTGAAGAGGTGAGTGTTCATGATCCAAAATGCACACTCATTGGAAGGTGAGGTTAAACTGAAAATGAGCCATTTATTTGGACGATGAGCAAATGAAAAATGCAAGAATGTAAAGGGGATCCGAAAAAACTAACCAAAACCTATACTAGAAAAAAAAAAAACATACTAGAAATATTAGGGAGCTGAGAGTGAGGAGACATGAGGGGATGCCAATTAACACAGAGGCAAGGACTCAAATATTCAGACTTGACACAAAGACAGAAAGGTTTCTGTCTTAACCTGAGCACAAAAGATGAATATTTTTTTATTTCAGCAAAAGTTCAGAAAGATTACAATAACTGTGAGCATGTGAAATTACACAGATTTTTCTGGCCAGAGTAAACAAACGTTCTCAATTATATTTTATACCCAACATGCTGCCAAAGCTAAAAAAATCTTGATTCTACATATTGCACTGAACCACACGAGCACAGGAACTTAGAAATTCTTGTTGTGGCGATGAAAAAGCAGCTCGTGTGTCAGGCTTGTTTTTGTTTGTTTTTGTCTTTGTTTTTGCCTCATACTGTAGAAGCAGAAATCAACTTTTCATATTTATTGTGTCATCTCAAAATTATACCAAATAACTGTCATATTCACCCAACAAACAGCCAAAATGGTTACATACTGTCCTCTGACAACTTGAGTGGTGACCATCATTGAGATGGTGAGCTACAGGCCGTTCCTGATCTTCACCTCGCGATGCATCTGGCACCAGAAACACATGTAACAGCAAAATGCTTTACACCAGTCATCGCAGCACGAGCCCTGCAGGATGGAGAAGAGGAAGAGGAGAAGAGTGAGAGACAAGAATGAAACACAATCGCACAATTCATAGCAATGGCCCATCCAACTATTCATGAAAACTAAGTACGCAGATGATCTAAATTTTAATTATAATTGAATAATTAAGAGGCAGGGTCAAGGCGCTAACACGTTAATGCTAATGCGCCTTGCATGGGGCAATCCGCATTAACTCGCCAACGCTGACAGGACTAATATATATATTAGTCCTGTCAGCGTTAGCGAGTTAAAACCGCATTAATGTGGCAAATCTCCGTTAGCGAGTAAGCGAGGACCCATTTATGCTGTCTTGTTCCAGGAGCCCACTTCTTATCAGGGTGTCCTGGTTCCTCAACACCTCACACGGCCTTTGTTATAGGTTATCTCTCCTCAGTTTAGTTTTTAGCTAACAATAATAACCTTGACCCTCCCCCACTCCCAGCCTTACATAGATCCCATAGCGCTCTCTGATGGACTTGCGGAGCAAAGACGACACCACGCAGCATACATCCAGGACTGGGAGGCAGCAACAACAGCCGTGCTTGTTGGCTGTATCACACTGCATGCAGGGAAAACACCAAAGGGCACAGCAACCTTGACGGAAGAAGAAGAATATGCAGAAACACGTTTACTTCACTTTGAATAAGTTGTCCTTTCATTACTGGCTTGTGCATCCTGTGTTTTATATGCTGACTTCAGCCCCAACTTTAGATCCTCAGATACTCAAGACTCTCTGAATAAAAGTCTGTGGAGAGTGTTAATGCAAAAACCACTACTGTTTATAGAGTTTGCTAGATTAACTTACAAGTGCCCATATCACTGAAGCAATCACAGAGGCCAGTGCTCCACTCCCCATGGTTTAGATTAGTGGTGGTGATCGTCACTACCTGGGTGGGCTGCTGGTAGACGGCCATTTCTGGAGGAAAGAGGGTAGAAATGGAGACGCATTGAAGGGTTATAGTGGTTGTTGCTTCTGTGTACGGAGAAATCAAATATGAAAAAGATAACAGCTGGTTTGAGACATTACTGTCCAAAGTGTGGATATTTTTACATTTCCTGGTTAGTGTAAATCACTGCAAAAACCTTTGACACTAAAATTATGAGTATATCTTTTAAAACTCGTGAACTCAGTTTATAAACTGCATTCACCTTGATCCAGGGGAACGTCTTGGTGTTCCCCTGGATCAGCTGAAGAAGGTGGGTGGGGAGAGAAAGATCTGGGCATCCTCCATTAGGCTGCTGCCCTGATGACCTGACCCCAGATAAGCAGAAGGCGATGGATGGATGACAAGAAAATCCTAGTGTCACGGTTCTGGGTCATTTTGACCCAGGATTCTGAGTTCTTATGTTTTCGTTTAATTTTGCATTATGGATTGTTTTCTGATTCTCTTGTTGTGCTTTGTTGATTATTATTATAAATCTGTTTCACTTTATTCTGGTTTGAGGTTTAGTTCTGTGCTTAGCCTTTGCCCGTGTGTTCCCTCTGTGTAAAGTCCGTGTTTCTTAGTCTGCGTCTTTGTGAATTGTTTCCTGTTTTATTTTGAAGGGTTATGTCTTATGTCAGCGTTACCTAGCGTCCCTCCCCCTTTCTCGTTAGGTCTCATTCCTCCCAGCTGTATTCCCCTCCTGTCTAATTCCTTGATGACTTCCTCAGTGTATTTAAGCCCCATGTTTCTTTGTGTCAGTGTTGTGTCGTACCCTCAGATTGGCCTGTGTGTTTCTGTTCTCAGCGTTCATGGTTCAGTTTAAGTTCTGTTCTGTTTTGTGACTTGGCCTGCAATAAAGCAGTGGACTTTGGATTCCGCCTCCACGAATCTGCATATTGGGTCCTTTATCCTGCCTGCCTGCAGACAGCCTTGACACCTAGATTGAATTGCATTTAACTAACTTGTATCCAAAAATTATATGGAAACATGAAAAGTTTTAGCTAGCTTCCAGCTGTCTCATCGTTGTTTATTTCTTCAGCAGACTTTACATGTGTCTATAGCATCCCTAAAAGGTTGATGTATTTCAGTAACACAGGGGCTAACATGTTTGCCAGGCCCTCTGGGCTGTAACAAGGATCTAGGATTTTTACATCAGGCTACAAGATGTCTGATGTAAAAAACGTTGCCAAACCAAAAATGTTATTATTAACATCACTGGAATATTGTTGTGATGGCCAAACCCGTGGCCACACTCTAAAGTCGGTAACTTTTGCATTTTCATTCTTCATTTTGAACATAGTAATACATTTTAGTTGCCAATAACTTCATTGATTGGTTTGGATACATTTGTTCTATTTGTAAGCGCACACATTTAGTTTACTTATGTATTCATACTACTTATTTCTTTGCTTTCTGACTAACTTTTGTCTTTTTATTTCTTACCTGCCATCATCCCTGGGAGTTGCTGGACAAAAGATGGTAGCCAGGGTTTGAAACCATTAAATACAAAGGAAGATAATTGGACCACACCACCACTTCCTGCTGAAGGGGGGAATGTGTGTTTTCTTTACTTTAAAAACAAAGTATTTGTATTTAATTAAATATTTGAGTTTAGGGTTTAATGGGGTTTTTGATTTTCTTCTTTAGTGTTTAGTTTATTAACAAACTAGATTGTACTGCATCGTTTGTGATTTATGATTGTGTTTTGTTTGTTACCCCTCATGTGTCACAATGGTCTGATCAGCCATTATATATACCCTTGTATGTCATTTCATGTTTAGGTCAATTATGTATGTTTGGGCAGTCATTTGGTTTGTTAAGGTTGCAGTCTTTGCCTGAGTTCAGTTTTGTTTCTTTGACCTCTTTTATGAGCTCAACATTTATTAGTCTTGTAAATATAATTTTTGGGGGTTAAATAAATGGAAACTATATTTTTCTAATAATTCCTGGGCTCCTCCTGTTTTTCAACTCGGTCCATCACAATTGTAATTTGTTGAGCAAAAAATATCTGTGTGCCTTGGGTGTGGTCTCTGGCCGGCTGCAGAGGAAGGGTGATGCTGCCGCAGGGGCGGGGTGAACAGGGGATGTGAATGTGATTGTGCCTCTTTATGTTCACAGTGACAGTCGGAGGGGAGGGGAGCGGACGTGACAGCGGAGCGGGAGTGTCTGTGTCCCATTGTAAAACAGTAAAACCGAATGTAAAATAAAGAAGTGCTGTCACCACGTCCGTGTATTGTACGTGTGGTCCAATGGTCCAACTTCACACTCATGTTTCCAAAACTACAGACGCAGACAAAACTTTAAAAACAACAGTTTGTTGCCCTTGTCCCACCTTTTTTGAAATGTGATCCTTTTTGCAAATTATTGCATTTATTTTTTATTTACTTTCTACTTTTTTTAAAAAAATTTTATTTAATCTGTCTAGCAGAGTTGACTATGTTGGTTGGTCCATTAGAACCCTGCCAAATCGTCTCTGCCACTGCCAAATAGCTCATCCTGCTATCGACTCTGCTGTTGATCTTCTAGATGCAAGTTTCAGCATTATGTGGAGTGAGCCCTAGTACCTCTCCAAGTTGGAAACCTGCTTCCATTTCATTAGGGACAGATGATTGGAAGCCACTGAACAGGACTTTATGATATAAAGTTATGCTATTTGGCAATTAGATTACGGTGACCCATCATAGCAGGCAGGAATCCCAGCGGTGATACGAATTAGAACAGGACCCCCAAAGAAAAGAAAAAGAATCTTACTGTGTCAGGAAGTTTTGTTCTTTAGAATACAAAACAGTTTTTGTGCCACAGCATTTCAAAGCGACAGCATGAATAAAAATGTCTTATCATTATTATTAGTAGTATTATCATTATGCATTATTACAATTGGATCTCAACAATCTCTACTCACAACCTTACAAATGCAGCGCCATTTAAGGGGAAACAAACAGGCCTACCAATCGCTTAATATTTATTACCAAGAAGCATTGTTACAGAAAAGAATCAACACAATACAAATTTCCTTAGCATTTGTGCCAAATTTATATAGATGTTAATAAAATCTATCTTATTTGAAGCCTCAAAGCAAACCTGTTGATCTCTATTTTACACTATAATCTGCTCCAGAGCAAGTTAGGTCTCCAGTGGTTCCCCTGGTATGAAGTGAATAACTTTTACAATATTCAGACTGCAGATAATACCTCAAGTTTCCTCAGTTGGCCCAAATTCTGGTTCGTAGGTCAGGCCTCGGGTCTTAACATTAAGCAAATCCAATATCAGAAGGCCAAAAACACTTCACATATTAATATTTGCCTCTGTGTAGTGATAACTACGTCAAAAATGCAGAAGCACTGTGTGAAAAATTAAGCACATACCATCACTGTTATTTGAACAACTTTGACTCTCACATCTTATTGTGCATGAAGCCATTGTGCACGAGCGAGTGTCTGCCTTGCACGCGTTACTACAGTTTTACGCTTTCGCGGGGACACTTCAGGTTACTGCATAGAACTGAGATACACTGTGGTAGCCACAGAAACGCTGTTTAAAAATGTATTTGTTTACAACTTGACAAATAAAGTTTGATGAATTAATTATCAACAGGCAATTAAGTAATGTTAATAAGTATTGGTAATGAATACTGACAACTGTTACTGGATTCATTTAATGTTGAAGAAATATTTTAAATCAGAGGATTCTAAGGCATGTTCTGAAGCCTCTGCATTGCCGTCACATTAATCTGCTGTACAGTATAACATTTTTTACTGATTTTTAAAAAAAAACAAAAAAACATAATTAGCCTATTAGCCTATTGAGTAAACATAATTTAAAAAAATGTGAACTAATATAGAATGTGTTCATGTTGTTGTTGGTGAATGTGCTTCACTCAATGAAACCGCTGTACACATCTGGCTGCAGAGCTCCACTCACTCTGTGTTCAGCTTCGACTGTAAGATTTCATCCATATAATATTTCAGGTCCTCTGAACAGACAGACTGTGGAGTGAACAGGAGAGAAGGATGTGACAGGCTGTCCTTGGTAAGGAGCTCAGTTGTCTGAACTAGTGTCTGATATGGTTGTTGATGTCATGCTATGTAAACCAAAGGCTCTTATAAGTATGTTACACACATACATACTTGTAGCTGGTGTGTGCTAGTAATTGCTATGTTTTTAATGCTTTGCGGTTCTCTCTGTGCAGCTAACCCCTAGATTAACTTCAGTTATGCCTGCTGTAGATCTATCACTCTGTTCTCCAGTCCTGGATCTGCAGATCACAAAACTTTATCTCTGGGCTTTTTTGGCTAATTGAATATATCTGACGCACAGTCTACATGACCTGCACTCCCTCCGACTCTTTACTTGAAGCAGATAAAGTTAATCGGTGTATACGTTTCACCACTGATGCAGCTCTACAGATGAGCCAGTTGCCAGTGCCGTAGGCACTAATGCACCCTCAGACCATCAGAAAAGCAGGATTTGAACTTGATGCTTAAAACAAGCTGGATGGTCTTCAGCACAGAGGACAGCGTTCATGTTTTCTAAAAGAAAATTCAAATTTGCTTTCATCTTTGTGTTTTGGTTCAAATCTTAAATACATCCGAAGGAAGTGTGACATCATTTAAAATACAGGAACACGGGGGCAGGCAGATATGTTGCAAAGAGACAGAAGTGCTGTACATGTAGAAAAACACTGGTAGAAAAACACTGGTTTCCTATCTGCACTCACAACCCACAGGAGAGAGAAAACGTGCAAACCAGCACATGACCACTTTTTAAATTCCCCTCTTGTTTAGTTGACATGTCGATGCCCTCCAGAGGCCAAGAAATGCACGACTCGTGCTGGTCTGATTCCAAACTGCATATGCGTGCTTTACATGTGCCTGTGGGAGGAGCAAAAATGATATTCTTGACACACTGTTATTAAATTTCAAGGCTATTATCAAGTGGCATCACTTTAAATAGAGCACAACTTTATTATTCATAAAAGTTGAGCTCTCTACTTTTTCCAGAAAAAGCTTTCTGTCTTTTGTTAGCTTTATTATATTCTAAATTCATTAAAATGCATGGTGGCCTTAGTACATAAGTAAAGATTGTGCTAAAGATTCCTACAGAATAGAGAATCACTGTGCAACAAAGGGAATCTAGGATGAATTGGTGTGGTCGGTCTGCACAAGTGGAGACCTTAACTTTATCTAAATACAGTTCTACTCTTTTTAAAGTACTGTTACTGTATAATAGCATTCAATTTTAATAATATTATTAACAGCGTCTCAAGAATATTTCAACATGCATCTTTCAACATGCAACAACCTGAACCAGAAATGCCTTTTTGAATCAGACCGGTATGAATAATATATGTATTGGCCTCTGGAGGGCGCCCACATGTCAACTAAATAAAAGAAGTGGAATTTAAAGAGGTCATGTGGTGACTTTTTCTGAACTATGATGTAAATAAGTAATCTCAAGAACAGAAAATAATTGCTTTCCTTGTAAATTGAAGATGTCCTTCTCAATGTCATCAGAGCACTCTGGAAGTCTTACATGAATTTGGAACATAGCACAAGAGGGTGTGACATCACAGCATTGTACGTCACATAACTAGCAGACCTGCATACAAGAAGTGGATGAGCAAGCATGGAAGCTTGTGAGTTCACCAGAATATTGGAGATGTTCTGTCAGTTGAGGTGAGTGCAGTGCACTTTGCTGTGGTCTTCTTGGGGAGCCAGATTGGAGCTGGCAACACAAACACTGGAAAAACTGCTCAGGAAAGCTAGCTCTGTGATTGGCAGCAGGAAGTGATTGAACAAACTGCCATCCATCATTGATATTTCTGGCAACCCACTGCACCACGTACTTCTCTAAAAGAGTGATTCAGATCTTTTGCCCCAATTGATAGAGGAAATACACTGATTTCCATGACAGAATCGTGTCTGTTTTTAATGCAGTTTCCTCTGAGGGCTTAAAGATCACCAACATCATGACTTTCAGCCTCGTTGTTTCCACAGAGAGATTTCTCCAGAGTCTCTGAACGTTTTGATGATATAGATTTTGATGACTCTAGATGATGAAATATTTCAAGTCTTCACAGCTTTACAGTGAAGAACATTATTCTGAAATTGTTACACAATTTGTTAATGGACGTTTTTGCTGAGCAAACAAATTGCCCACCTTTCCTTCAGAGCAACTCTGTTTCTCTAAGTTGCTCTTTAAATACCTAATCATGTTACTGACCTGTTGCCAAGTAATCCAATTACTTTTAAAATGTCCCTCGAGCTATTTCTTTTTAGCACCACTTGTTTTTCCGGCCTTTTGTTGCCCCATCCGAACCGTTTTGAAACATCTTGCTGAAAACAGGCTTTTAAACACCAGTCACTGGTGTAAAATACAGCGTTCTGTTGAGATCCCCGCAATTTTTTACATTGTTCTGACTTATTAAACTGCAATTTTTATATAATTTCTTCAACCAGGTAGGTAGGTAGTGTAAGTGCCAAGTTACGGCACTATTGCCTTGCCATATCAAACTTCAGCAGGGCGTCCAAAGCAGACACTCGCGCACGAATCTTGGCTTCTTTGTGTGTGCTGCTGCCGCGTTCTATGCACGAGGAATTTAATTGCGCCCATGAAGTAAAATTATTTGCTCGGATTTTGTTTTTGCTTGCAGATTTGTTATGACAAAAATATAATTCAATAAGTTTGAGTTAGGATTTAGCTGTCCTGTGACTGCAAAGCAAGCCCCATCGTTATACTTCCACCCCTGTGTTTGACAGCAGGTATGAGGTGTTTGGGCTTAAACGCTAGGTTCAAGTTTGTCGACCAACGTGACGTTGTGCACAACAAAAACATCTCCACTTTGGTCTTGTCTGTCCAAATAAACCTTCCCAGACTTGTTGACTGCAACATATGGG